GTGCTCATCTTATCCTAAACACCAATGAGTTGGCACATTAATTTATTGGTGGATAAAGATTTTGTGAGTTCCAATCCACCAATGAATTAATGTACCAACTCATTGGTGTTTAGGATAAGATGAGCACCGGTGCTCATTATATATAAAAGTCAAATACACGTGCTTAAGTGATGGAAAAGTTGTCAATTATTTCTTTACTTTTTCATTGCCTTGATCTTGAAAATTGATGGGAACTGTCAATTAGTTTAAGTTTAATATTTTTTATTGTCTTGATTTTAGGAATTGATGGGGATGTTTTTTTTGCCATGTGTAGATTGATAGGAAAGAAAATGGTTTTAAGGATTTAAATGAGTTAATATTATAGATAAAATGTGTCTTATAATTAGCATTATTTATACATAATTTTATGCCATTAGGTTTAAGGAAGAGTTTTATTATTTAATTAGCACCAATTACATGCCATTAGATTTAAGGACTTAGCCCATATATATACAACTTTTGCATTGAGTTTGGGCACCTCGTTTAAGCAAAATCAATCCTAATTTGTTTTGTATTTGGCAATCATTAGTTAACTCATGTTTTATTATAGAATATAATTTCGACATTTTTTCTTGGCACATAGACACGACAACAACAAAAAAGTTTTGGGAACCTGAATTTCTTACTTTCTTCCAACAATTCTATTATCAAACGAGGTAGGATACTATGTGCAAGTTGTTATGTCTTTGAAATATTATGATTTTTTTCTACATAATTTATTTCATGAAATGCTAATTGACTTGCGGGTCCTAACGAAACGAAATAGGAGATCTCCTTCGAGTTTTCTCAAGTGTTGCACAGAAATGTGTTAGAGCATTCGATTGATCTCCGATTGCTCTTGATGAAATGATGGTATGAAATGTTGTAAGTTTATGTTTAAAAAGTTATTATGTTGTTTTGGATGCACATATTTTACTGAGTTTAAATTACTCATTCTTTTAAAATTTTAACATTTAAGGTCAGATCGGTCAACGTGAATGGTGGCTGAGCGGTGTGCAGGTTGCCAAGTATAATTTTCGAAAAAATATTCAATAATAAATTATGTTACGATAGTTGTGTTTTCTTTACTTTTATTAAATTTTCTAGATTTCGTGACTCTATGTTTGATTCAATACATAAATGTTCGAATAAATTAAAAGTTTAAATGTTCAATTAAATATTTCCATTTCGAATATTATTATGAAATGATATATGTAACACCCTAAAATTTAAGTCAATAAAATTTGGGGCGTTACTGTATGATATCAGAGCACCAGTTTACTTTGCTGTAGATTTTGAAAAAACACACATTTTTTTGTAATGACCCGACCTCGTTCCGAAACCGTTATCATATCATACGTACTGTCCGCTTTGGGAGAGTCTATGCCCATCTTACCCATCACGACTTTCTAACGCGTCCCCCAAGATTCGAACACAAAACATCCATCATATGAGAGATTTAAGTTGAATTCTGGTACCAATTGGGCAACTAATAATACAATTAATGAGTTGAGAGTATCGTCCTACAGGAAATAAATTCAATTCAAGTTTACTAACTTTTTTATGGGATTCGAATTATGTAAACAAAAGAGAGTTTGATTTTATTTTATGTTAAATTAATCTAAGAAAGCGGTAATAAAGTGATTTTTTATCAATTTATGGATGATTGTATTGGATCTCGAATCCGCCTATTGCTATGTATTTTAATTCTTGATTTGTAATCTAATCCCGTTCATACATTCTTGACAATTGATAAAATTATGATATATAATTTTCTTTTCCAAGATAAATTAAATCTATCATAACCACGACATGAATCTATTCCTAACCCGAATTCAAATTATTAGAATGTATTAAAGTTTAGATTATCTATATGATTGCACATGTGATAAATGTTATTTCTAATATCTATTGTACATATGTTAATTTTGCTGCGTTATAAACTTATTGTGAGTCTCATAATACTGTAACAAGTAACTAATTATCTAATTGGTGGCTAATCAATCAAATAATGCAATGAGTATGCAAAATTAATCAAGAAACACAATAAATAAATTAAACCACTATTCTTGAATTAAAACAAATAACCAAATATGGTTCATTTTCATCCAAAACAAAAGCAGATATAGCCTAGTGTTCACAAAAATATGTTGAATTAAAATCAGCTCAAGTGTACGGTTCGTTAACAAATAGTAAAATGGATTTTGAATCCAAGTATCATTCCCACGAAGATTGATTAGTTCTAATTCTAATTATCGTGTCCTTAACCGAAACTATAACAATGAGAATGTTTGTTTTGATGAAATTATAACAAAATTAATGATCAATATGCAAGTATGAATGAATTGACTAACTAAATGCAAATTGACGATGATTGCAAATTGAAGTGTTTTCTAATGTATGATAAACGTACTAAGATCACGAATCCCTATGTAGCATTCCCTTTAAACCTAGTTCTACACCTTGACACACAGTTGAAATATTGAAGAATCAATGCTCCTAAATTATTTAACAATCTCTCTCGAGTAGAATTAAACCTATTCAAATATGCGACTCAACTATATCTCTATGACGGATGCAAACATACATGAATGCATTAGTTTTTACGAACACTTAAAGATTCACATAAGACATAGCGGTATATTTCTATCCCCTATCGAACCCTAGGATGATNCAAGATTCATCGTTCACCTAGTACATAATTAATCAAGCCTAACATGGTGGGAAGAAGAAAATCAGAAAAATAAATAAAAAACGTCATCACCAATTCGATTCTTGAATTAGATTTTCGTGTTCTTGGAGTTGATCTTCGAGTTATTGCCTCTTTTATTCTCTCAAAAGTCTTATCCCCTCTCTTTCTTCATGTATTTTGCTGTTATATATTTGTTGGAGTACAAAATTGGTTGAAAATCACGTCTATTTTGGTTTCGAAAAGAGTTCCAATCGAATAAGGAATGTTTCATTCGCGCGTGGATTTTTTTATCTCTGCATAGCAGTCAGTATTTTGATCATAACTTTCTCTCACGATATCCGATTGGTGCGATTAAAAGTGCGTTGAAAAGCTGACTCAAAGGATTACAACTTTTCAAAATAGCATTTTTCCAATTTTGACGTTTACAGTGCCAAAAATGGATATCAATATTCGACTAAAAATCTGGAATATAACTTGTACGATTTGACATTGATTGTGATAATATTTTGATCATATTCTATCCCTTTTTGAGTTCTAATTCCATCCAATTGTCTCCTATCAATCTTCAAATTATCATCTCGTGGTCCGAATCAACTATTGAATTTGCAATTTGGTCATCAAACTTTGGACTTTGCCATTTTTCCTTGATTTTCTTTTGTTTTTTCCAATTTCTCGTTCATCCATTGAGTTTAACCTATATAACATGAAATACAACAATTTAGGATATATTTTATCAAAATAATTGCCAAATATCGATATTTTAGGTTTCGAGTAAGTGTGTAAAACGCACTTATCACCTAACATGTTAATATATAAATTACAAGAAGAAGAATAGAAAAAT